TCTACCTTTCCAAAAAGGTTCAATTTGTGCTAATACCTTTACTGAGTCCAGAGATATGGGTCTTTCCATCCGCATAACCCGATTCTAACCAGTTCATTAAAACTATGTTTTCAATAAAAAAGGTATATTTTGCGTAAGAATGAAATTCAGAAATCTTTGGTTCGCGTTAGCCGGTGTAGGACATACCCAGAGGAGAAAATCTCAAGCCCCGGCCGAAGGCCGGCTACTTACAAAAGGTATCCAATTTAGAAAACTTTGGTTCGCGTTAGTCGGTGTGGGACATACCCAGAGAAGAAAATCTCAAGCCCCGGCCGAAGGCCGGCTATTTACAAAAAGTGTCAAATTTAGAAAACTTTGGTTCGCGTTAGCCGGTGTGGGACATACCCAGAGGAGAAAATTTCAAGCTCCGGCCGAAGGCCGGCTATATACAAAAAGTGTCAAATTTAGAAAACTTTGGTTCGCGTTAGCCGGTTTAGGACATACCCAGAGGAGAAAATCTCAAGCCCCGGCCGAAGGCCGGCTACTTACAAAAGGTATCCAATTTAGAAAACTTTGGTTCGCGTTAGCCGATGTAGGACATACCCAGAGGAGAAAATCTCAAGCCCCGGCCGAAGGCCGGCTATTTACAAAGAGTGCCGAAATTATGAACCTTTTGTTCGCGTTAGCCGGTGTAGGACATACCCATAGGTGAAAATCTCAAGCCCCGGCCGAAGGCCGGCTATTTACAAAAAGTGCCAAATTTAGAAAACTTTTGTTATTCCGACGACTGCTACGCGAAATAAACACTTTTTTTTATTAAAAACATAATTTTAATGAACTGGTTAGAATCGGGTTATGCGGATGGAAAGACCCATATCTCTGGAACCGAAAAAGGTATTAGCACAAATTGTAGCATTTTGGAAAGGTAAGAGTGTCAGCTATAATTTGGAAACAATTTTGTTGACCCCCATAATGGGCCCTTTTTTGACTTTTTGGGGGTTTCATAAAAAATCCGGGTCCAAAAAATCGATAATTTGACTATAACTTCCGAACCATGAAAACTTACCCCTTCATGTGACCACTTGTTGGATAGGTATTTCCATAAGCTTTCAATCGATACCCATATTGTCTATATCGGGTAAGTGGATCCGGGTCCAGGCGGGGTCTTGATCCCGGACTTTTGGGTCAAAAATCTGGGGTCCCGGGTCCGTCCCCCAAGAAAAAAAATAGTTTCCGGGATCAGGGTAAAAATACCTACCTCTGGAAAAAATTTCGAAAAAATCTAAGAGTTTTTACTAAACTAGAGTTGTTCCCGTTTATGTATAGCTTTATATAAAATCTATAAATTGTAGTTGTGTTCCGTGGAGTGTAACTTGTGAATGGCAAAGCATTGCAAAAAGGTATAAATGCCAAGTTATTAACAAAAGTGTTTTAATTAATGAGTAACTAGCCTTTTTTGTTCTATTTTGTGCCAACACATGTTTTGCAGATAAACATGTGTTTGTCCATGCAGCGCTCATTGAAATTTGGAGAAGCAACAATCGCTCAGAAGATGCACTTGTGAAATATGTGTTACAGAATATCAATAATATCAGTTTAAATGAAGACCAAATGCGTTTGATATCAAAACAAGTGAAAGATTTTGTTAATTATATAAAAAAGCATTCGCCAAAGTGCATCCGTAAACTAGAGCGATTTAAAACTAAACATTCAAAATGGCTTAGCAAAAGTATAATTATTGTAATGAATGAGCAGTATGATTCTCCAAATCATCATAGCCGATCGGCTATATAGCAGCTACATGAAATAGTGCCCCAAATCATATGAAAATTCGTAGGTCATCTTGGGGGCATAAAAATGAATACAAATCAAATTTCATTTCAACAGCTTCATAAATAAAAAAGTTGGGTCAAATAGGCCAGACCGGCTATATAGCAGCTACATAAGAAATAGTGCCCCAAATCATATGAAAATTGGTAGGTCATCTTGGAAGCATAAAAAATGCATACAAACCAAATTTCAATTCAATAGCTTTGAAATTAGAGTTTATGCCAAAATAAACATTAAAAAACCCATAGTGCAACGACGAAGACTGTTTTAGAAGGTAAATCTGAGTCGCCTTGTCTATTTATCTGATGCTTCATGAACGTATTCTATTAAGATATAGAGAATGGGTAATTTTGTAAGAGAGGTAGAGGCTCCAACCCTAACCCTCATATTTTTCTTTAATATGACCTACTAGTCTATGGAAAACCGACCACACAATACATTTTTATACGGTTAAGAGTTTAAAACATTATACTTTTGTACGGAAAATAACAGTAGGAGAGGTCCGATTTCATCCCTTTTCGTACCTGATCTAAAAAAAAATGTTATCCAACTGGGATAGTCCATTTGTTTTTATTAAGATGTGTGAGTTTTGATACCCTCAGCCAAATGGCTTCAGAGGGTGTACAGGGTGAGATGAAAAAACTGCAAACAACTTCAGACTGCTGTCATTTATAGGTAACTCGTCCGACAGCTTTTAACTAATTAATTTTCCAGTGACAGCTCATTATATTGTTTAAAAGTGTACAAAAGCATTTTGGTGAAAATTTGGGATAGAGTGATTTCTTTATATTTGGCTGGAAAAACACAAGTGGTTATAGTTAGAGCACTCCAGCATTTAAATATGAATAAATTTTTTGTGTCTCCTACCATCGCTCGTTACCGTAATACTAGTAGCGTAACACGTCAAGGAAGTGGACGGAAGAAAACAGCAACAGCAGAAATGGTTCGAAAAGTATGAAAGCGACTTGATCAAACCCCCTTCGCAGTGGCCGAAAAATGGCTGGTTAACTAAACATATCGCAATATTTCATTCGGCAAATATTGAAAAATGAGCTCGGGATAAAGCCATTGAAATTCCAAAAAGTGCTAGAACTTACACCGCAACGGAAAGAAAATAGACTCAAAAGAGCTAAAGAGTTGCTTCGCTTGGCCGAAAGTGGTGAACTGCCGAATTTGGTTTTCTCCGATGAGAAAACATTCGTTGTCGTTGTCCAGCAGTTTGTAAACAAACAAAATGAACGTGTTTACTTGCCAAAGAGATCAGTTGAACATGTGCACCTTCGGTTGGCCACCAGAACTCAAGCGCCGGCCAGAGTGATGGTGTGGGTCGCCATAACAGCCGGCGATCGCTCTCCGCTCGTATTAATCAATCGTGGAATCAGAATAAATGCCGAATATTATCACGAAAATATTCTGGAGGGTGTATTAAAGCCTTGGGCACGCAAACATTTTGGCCGCAGACCTTGGACATACAAACAGGACTCAGCACAATCGTACTCAGAGCGCCACCCAAGGTTCCTCGCTTCATTTCAGCGCGCAATGGTCACCAAAATCTCTAGATACCAATCCGTTTGACTATTGTGTCTGGAGTATTTTGGAAAGCAAGGCTGGCACTAAAAAATACCAAAGTGTCGATCACCTCAAGCAAGCGCAAACAAACGCAGAACAACATTCGGGCAGCGTGTGAAGGTTCCATTGGCCGTTTGAAGACCATAATTCGTGCCAAAAGTGACCAATTCGAACAAATCTAAACTTATTTTAAAATTTGATGCTAATTCCGAAATTTTTAGCATTCATTCAATAAAAATTATGGCGTTTGACATTGTTGCAGTTTTTTTATGTTCCCCTGCATTAGGATTTTCAAAGTTGGAGCTAAATCGGGTAATTCTTTCCCTTTCTGTGCAGTAAATTATTTTCTTTGAAAATGTTGTCATTTTGTGGGAAGGTACCAGAAGGAAGTTACCCATCTCCAAACGCGATATAAGTTTGACAATAATATTACATGTACCAAGTTTTGATCAAATCGCATACTCCCTTCAAGAGTTATCGTGCGCATAGCAAGATCGACTCCAAATGACCTGAAACGGATTTGGTCCAAAGTGACCTAGGATCTAAAACCGTTATTTCAATGAGACACTTTTTGGCCGTATCAAATGATATATACCCTCTCTAGCCATATGGCTGAGAGTATAAAAAATATGTCGGTAACAGACCTCCCCCACAAAATATTAAAATTGTTGATTACCAATTAGTACCACAAAACCGGAAATAAGTAATTTTTGCATATCTCAATATTTATATCAGTATTTTCTTTCGGTCCACTCTTTCTTTACTTCCTCCACAAAAGTTAAACATTTTCCAAAAATCTGTACAACTATCTCAAATAAAAGGGGTGGAAGTAGTCGATACCGTCCAAATCTGGCACGTCGTAATAATTATGTCAGACTTGGGTCATATGCGAAATAGTAAATATTGACCCACTCCTTCGGGTAAACATTTTGAATACTTAATCAAAATATATTTTATTATCAGATAAGCAGAGGGTATATACAAAGACCAAAAATGGTAAAGACTAGACAAAATGCATTTTGAGCAAAGGGTTTGTGTCTACAATACATAGAGTAACAGCTCATGGCAGAGACATGTTAATATAAAAACCACAATAACAGAAACAGATAAAAAATAAAAATTTGAGAAATCCAACATTTTGGTTTCAAAATTCTATTTCATGGACCATTCCGAAAATTTGCACATTGCCTTAGCGGTTTAAACCAGTTAACATTGGTAACTATGTTGTTATGATATCGTAACAACAGAGTTATTTTCACAGGGTTACCATATCTTGACCCTGTCTTGTCCTATCTTTACACTTCTATGTCTTTGGTATATATCTGTCGACAAAAACCGACTGATTTTTTATCCTGTTTTTGAAAATTTCGGCTATATTCAAAACATAAACAGCTCGGATTGGTGTTTTTTCTTTCAATGTCTTTTTTGTTTTTTTTGAAATATAAAAACAGGTCGTCAATGTGCCCCCAATCTTACAATAATAGATTTTCCAAACATTATCGATTTTTGGTCGGAAATTGGTCAAGCAAATCGAAACGTTACTATCTGACTAACTAAGAAAACATTTCTCAATTCTGTACAACGACAACACTCTCTTCCCCTTTATATCATGGCTCAAACCTTTGAGACAACTTTGTTTTGGTTTCAATGTAAATAAACTATGATCGGTTACAGTCGTAGAAAAAAAGTAGCGTAAAAATGTAAAATATATTTCTACACCACGATATCAAGTGAATCAAATTGTTATACCACAAAAAATATAAGAAAATTTACAATTTATCAATTTCCATGTGTTAAATAAAGAAAGAAGTACAATGATCTTTGTTCACATATTACTACTAAGCCTCTTTACGGCGTGTATCCCCCCATCGTTTTGGGTGGGAGCAATGGAAACACCGACACACCGAACGTTAAGAGAGCTTAACAGAGAACAATCGATGCCACAATGGCATGTTAAATTTAATCCATCCAACATAACTGCTCATATGAAAACTGTTGTTAACATAGCAGTTGAAATAAGGGGTAAGTTACAAATTGAATTCTAAAAATATATATTTTTAAATTAAAATGTTCTTTTCTTTGCAGATATTGAAGTGACAGATTTGAAGGATATATCATTTCAATTTTTTGCTGACAATGAACGTTTGGCTGTGGTCAAAAAAGAGATTTCGGGGTCAGAAATTGATGTAAATTCTCGAAGCTGGAGCGGATATATAACTGTTGATTTGAAATTGTTGGGGTTTACAAAAATCTATGTTAAAATGTTGAATCACAAAAGGAATACAGCGGAATTAAGTAATGAATCCCTGCCATTGACAATTGTGAGGAAAGCCCGACTAATAGATCACATATTTACTGGATCTGTGGCATTATTGGTATCATTACTTTACATTAACTTTGGAGCTGCAATGGACTTAAAGGTCTTAAGGAAATTGCTCATAAAACCCGTGGTAAGTCCGAATAACAATAAATGAAATAATAACTAGTTAATATTATCCTTATTTTCCAGGGACCCCTAATTGGTTTTGTTACACAATTTATACTTATGCCTCTATCTAGCTATGTAATTGCAGTTTTTCTATTCCCCAATAGTATTGAAATGCAGTTGGGTCTATTTTTCACCGGAGTTTCACCCAGTGGTGGAGCATCCAATATGTGGACTGTCATCTTGGGTGGAAATATTAATTTGTCACTCCTTATGACAAGCATAAGTAATGTAGCTGCATTTGCTATGATACCCCTCTGGATATTCTCATTGGGTCGGATAATTTTTTCACGAGGTAATATGACAATACCCTATAACAAAATAGCCACATTTGCAGTGGCTCTCGTAATACCGCTAGCCTTGGGAGTGGCAATACAAAAATACTCACCCAAATGGAGCAAGGTTTTGATACGTCTTCTGGAACCGATTTCCAAATGTCTTATACTATTTATAATCATATTTGCAATGGTGACCAATTTTTATCTATTCGAATTGTTTTCGTGGAGGGTAAGGCAAAACAAAAACATTTAAGGAAATTATGAAAACTTATTTTGATTTTCTATTTTCAGATTGTTTTGGCTGGTGCACTGCTACCTTGGTTGGGTTACTGTTTGGCCTGGTATTTTGCACGCAGCCTTAAACAAGAAAATGCCGATGCCCTTACCATTGCCATTGAGACGGGCATACAAAATACGGGAATTGCAATATTTCTTCTTCGTAGCCTACCACAACCTCAGGCTGATTTAACCACAGTGGTACCCGTATCGGTGGCAATAATGACACCATTTCCTTTACTGGGATTATATTTTTACAGAAAGTACAAGGGGAAAAAGCCTATAAAGTACAGTACATTAAATGAATCTGATGAACACATACGAACTTTATAAAGTAAAAATAATGCAAAATTACAAAAAAAAAAACTTAAAAAGCATCAAACAGTTTGGCTAACAGATGTATACCCTCAGCCAATGTGCAGTCGTTTATTTAAATATATTTTGACTTACACTATGATAATTCAAACTGTTAGCTCTTAATGGGGGAATTTCCGAAGCAGTGGGCCAATGTTGTCCATTTCGTATCGGGCCTAAATAAATACGATATACAGGGTGAGATGAAAAAACTGCAACCAACTTTAGACTGCTGTCATTTCTAAGCCACTCGTCCGACAGTTGTTAAAATTATTCCAGTGACAGCTCATTCTATTGTTTACAAGCGTACAAAAGCATTTTGATGAGACTTGATAATGTGATTTCTTTATATTTGGCTGGAAAACCACAAGTAGCTATCGTTAGAGCACTCCAGTATTTAAATGTAAATAAATCTTTTGTGTCTCGTACCATCGCTCGTTACCATAGCGTAGCCAGAAATAGTTCAAAAAGTAAAGAAGCGACTTGATCGAAACCCGCGTCGCAGTGGCCGAAAATTGGCTTGTGAGCTGAACATATCGCAATATTCCATTCGGCAATTATTGAAAAATGAGCTCAGGTAAAGCCTTTGAAATTCCAAAAAGTGAAAGAAAATAGACTCAAAAGAGCTAAAGAGTAGCTTCGTTTGGCCGAAAGTGGTGAACTGTTTTCTGAGAAAACATTCGTTGTCCAGCAGTTTGTAAACAAACAAAATGATCGTCTTTACTTGCCAAAGAGGTCAGCTAAAAATGTGCACCTTCGGTTGGCCACTAGAACTCAAGCGCCAGCCGTGGTGGTGGTGTGGGTCTCGTATTAATCGACCGTGGCATCAGAATAAATGCCGAATATTATCGCGAAAATATTCTGGAGGGTGTATTAAAGCCTTGGGCACACAAACATTTTGGCCGCAGACCTTGGACATTCCAACAGGACTCAGCACCCACCACCAATGGTTACAAAATGAGGTTCCTTGCTTCATTTCTAGTGCACAATGGCCACAAAAATCTTCGGATACCAATCCGCTGAACTATTGTTTCTGGAGTATTTTGGAAAGCAAGGTTGGCACTAAAAAATACCAAAGAGTCGATCTCTTCAAGCAAGCGCTTTACCAGGAATGGTCCAAAATACCGGAGAGCAACATTCGGGCAGCGTTTGACAGTTTCATTGGCCGTTTGAAGGCCATAATTCTTGGCATTTTAACAAATCTAAACTTATTCTAAAATTTGATAATATTTCCGACATTTTTTGCTTTTATTCAATAAAATTTAAAAAAATGTCAAAATTATGGAGTTTGATTTTGTTGCAGTTTTTTTTATCTCACCCTGTACTATATATATGCGCCATGATAGAAGAATACAGGTAGATGCATCAACGCTTTGGAATATTGATATGTCAAAAAATTTCAAATGCTCTTTCAAATATAAATAGATTTTTATATGTTTTCTTATACGACGTCATTCGGAAGCTATAATAATTCGTGTTTTTCAACAATTTTTGCAAATTTAAATAATTTTTCATTCAACATTTTCAATTTCAAAATTGGTTGGACAGTTCCCAGCAGCTGTGTCGATGCGTCTACCTTTATTCTTCTACCATGATATATACCAAATGGGGTCTTCGACAAATATTTGGAAGTGTGAGAAACCGAATGAAAATTTTATATATTGTATAAAAATGAAACAAATATTTTTTGGGATAATTTATCGACTTAAGTGGCCAACAAAATGTCTACTTTTAAGGGTGACATGCTAAGAAGCTACGACTTCCACACAATTGATAGAAGCATCATTATTTTGCAATGGAAATGTTTTGCTGGGGTTTGTTTAACATTTACAATCCATAACAGAGGCATTCCGTGCGCTCAGAGAGATAATTTGTATTTTCTATACTATGTATACATGATGTTAACTTTCTCAATCTCATGTTACTCAGCCCCCCAAAGACTGATGAACAACTGATCTACTCACAAGAGACCACAGTTTAATCTCAATTGTAAAAACATTCGGTCGGGTTTTCGTTTCGTGTTTTTTTTTTTTTTTTTTTGTTTTGATGCAATAATTTGTTAATTGGAAAGTGTAATTTTAGGAATTTTATACAATTAATTTGTTATTATTTTGCAAAAATAATATTTTTTAAAATATGTGTGATAAGAATAAACCAAATTTTATGTGAAAATAATGTAACAGTAACTGAAAATAACCAAAAGAAAAGTGCAACAAAAAATATTTTAAGAAAGAGTGCTAGTCGTTCAATAACAAAAAAACGCAACAACGCACTAAACGAATATCGGCAATGCAATTTCCGAAAGATGCACTTCGCATTGTGGGGGTTATCTTGATAGCTCACTTGCCGGTATATCTGGCAAATGGAAGAGTGGGAAATGCAGAAAACGTCGGAGCCACTTTAAATGCATTGGACGCTTCGAGCGCCGTAGTGGAACCAAAATGGCATGTCAATTTCAATCCCCCCAATATGACGGCACACATGGATACGAGTGTTGAAATACAGGTTAACATAACAAGTGAGTTTCTCATTAAATTCTTCCGAAACAAACAAATGGGGAATGTACGTACGTGTATGCAGGCACAATTACTACACAATTTATCTTGGATGACTAAAGAGTTCTCGCCCTGGGCTTAGGAAATTGTAAAATAGACAATACGTCAGTCCAAAAAAGCGTTAAAATTATTTTATCGTGAAAACAAACAGATTAAAGAAAAGAGATAAAAAATATTCAGAAAAAATTGATAAAATGATGGTCCAGGCGATACTGTAGCACCGCAATGTTTTGTATGAATTGTGCATTTTGATGTTTTTGTACACAAAAATAATAAAATATGACAAAATGATGAAAAATAGATGGAGCGATTCAAATAGAGCTAAAGTTCGATCGGTACGAACTTTTATTGGCTCCACGATGGGGAAATGAAAACACCAGTTCTAAATTATTTTGCGATATTTTCATTTTTTGTTTGGTTTAAAACCCCCAGAAAGAAAAGATTGGAACATATGTTCGAATATATAAGTTCCGAATTTTTTTTATAAGATATTTTTTGGTTTTAACGGATTGGATCAAATTTTCGCACGGGTTCCGGGTTCGCACAGATCCATATACAGTTCCCTATGTCGGTGACTAATATTTCGAGGTATTCTCTAATTTTTGCCCCAATTATACTTATAATACCCCAACACATAGTGTTTTAGGGTATAATGAAACCATGAGACAACACACCTTTTGATGGAACCATTGATCATAGTTTCTTGAGTTTTCTGCTTGGTGTAGGGGAAATGAGCATTTATAAGTGCATTGTTTCTCACTTAGACAAATATTTTGTTTTGCTATTCAGGCGTGTAAAATGAACATGCACATGTTGTTACTAAATGTTATGGCCGAAAGCTTAGCTCTCGGAAGTTGTATGTAACATTAATTTTATTAAATAAAACTGAAAAACTACAAAAAATATTTTAACTACAAAAAAGTAAAAAAGCAGCTAAGTTCCAACTTTTAATAACCTCCACCACTTGGAAGGAATTTTAAAAAGTTAAAAATAATATACAAATACGAAAACATAGACCTCTACATTCACTTATATACCAGAGAAGGCTGTTGCCTATTACGAAATCAAATCACCAAGATAATTCGGTTGAAAAAAACCTAGCTAATGGTAAAAAAATTCCGAATATAGAGAGGTACAGTTATATGGGATCTATACGAAGGTGTGAACCTGTATAGACAATTTTCTCTTATAGGATGTAATTCCCATAACAAACTCCAAATACCAAATTTGAAATAATTCCGATGAAAATGTGTCACAAATCATCGAAATAGTGAATATCTAGAGGCACAGTATAATATAATAATACCAAATAATACCAAAACATGGATCTATTTAGACAAGGATGTTTCCTACATATTGGGAACAAAAACCGCCAATTTACAGCAATTTAAATAAAACTATTTAAAACAAGTAAAAAAGCTGTAAGTTCGGCCGGGCCGATCTTTGAATACCCTCCACCATTTGGAACGACTTTGGCCATTTTCAAAAACATAAAATCCGTCAAAAATTCTGTTAAAATCTTAAAAATACCGAAAGTAGCCGTTATATTATGGTCTATACGACGACGCGGACCTGCATAGGCAAATTTCGTCATAAACCATTGCAATATTTAAATGCGATATTGAAAAAAAAAATCGGTGAATAATGTAGCTAAAATCATCAAAATACCGATTATCGGGAGGTGACGTGATATGGGGGCTATACGAAGACGTGAACCTGCACAGACACTATTCTGTCATAGGCTGTATTACCCATTACGAACTTCAAATACCAAATTTGAAACAATTCCGGTGAATAATGTAGCTAAAATCATCAAAGTACCGAATATTGGGAGGTACCGTTATATGGGGGCTATATGAAGACGTGGACCTGCACAGACAATTTTCTGTCATAGGCTGCAGTATCCGTTACGAACTTCAAATACCAAATTTGAAATAATTCCGGTGAATAATGTCGCTAAAATCACCAAAATACCGAAAAAGGAGAGGTACCATTATAGGGGGGCTATACCAAAAAGGTAGACCTACATGACCCATTTTCAATACCAAAAGTCCTGCAGACATAATACACATTTGATTAAATGTTATCAACCTACTTCATTTCGTTCGGAAGCTAGAGTGATTTTCGCAGACGGATAGATGGACGGACATCGCTAAATCGACATATGCTGATCAAGAATATATATATACTTTGTGGGGTCTAAAATGTATATTTCGAGCTGTTACAAACGGAATGACAAACTTAATATAACCTCCATACTAAGATGGAGGGTATAAAAATCCTAACTCACAAAAAATTTGGTTTCTCTTTCGCCAATTTCAGATATTAATGCGGCGAACTTAGACGATGTGGTCTTTCGTTTTCACAGTGACAACAGTGATTTGGCACAAGTGGACGATGTGGTGCAGGGCTCCCAGATTGATCCTCTTACCCATACATGGCAAGGAAATATTACAATACGCACGATATTTTTGGGTTTTACAAACATCCATGTACATATGATCAACGAGAAGGAGAACACAACGGAAATCAGCAGCGAATCTTTCCCATTGATAATAATACGAAAACAACGCGTAATTGATCATGTATTTACGGGATCAGTTGCCTTGCTGGTGTCTTTGTTGTACATAAACTTTGGTGCTGCCTTGGATATGTCGGTACTAAAGGGGCTGATTGTGAAGCCAGTGGTATGATAAGATCAGTGATTTTTCTTTGGTATATGTGTTTTTATCTTTGTTTCTCTTTCTCCTTTCCAGGGTCCATCAATTGGCTTCGTTTCCCAGTTCGTGTTAATGCCGCTCATCAGCTATGCCGTGGGTTATTTTGTTTTTCCGGATAGTGTTGAAATGCAATTGGGTCTATTCTTTACCGGTGTCTCACCCAGTGGTGGTGCTTCCAACATTTGGTCCGTCATCTTGGGTGGTAACATAAATTTATCCGTCCTGATGACTACCGTTAGCAATATTGCCGCCTTTGGCATGATGCCACTGTGGATTTTTACACTGGGCCATTTGATATTTGCACGCGGTAATATGGCAATACCCTATAAAAATATTGCAACATTTGCTGTAGCCTTAGTGGTACCATTGGCCATAGGTTTGGGTATACAAAAATGTTCGCAACGTTTGACCAGAATATTGGTGCGTTTCCTTAAACCCATCTCAACGTGCCTCATATTGTTTATAATCATATTTGCAATTGTAACGAATTTGTATATGTTTAAATTGTTTTCGTGGCAGGTAAGTTAATAATATGTGTAATTTGCACTCACGTCAGAAAGTATATTTTTATACCCTCTACCATAGTATGGAGGATATATTAAGTTTGTCATTCCGTTTGTAACACCTCGAAATATTCATTTTAGACACCACAAAGTATATATATTATTGATCAGCATAAAATTCTATGTCGATTTAGCGGTGTCCGTCCCTCTGTCCGTCTGTGAATATCACTCTAGCTTCCGAACGATACAACGGTAACTCCCGATATTCGATATTTTGATGATTTTAGCGGCTTAATTCACCCGAATTGTTTCAAATTTCGTATTTCAAGTTCGTAATGGATACTACAGCCTGAGACAGAAAATGTCCGTGCAGGTCCACGTCTTCGTATAGCACCCATATAAAGGCACCTCCCGATATTCGGTATTTTGATGATTTTAGCGACATTTTTCACCGGAATTGTTTCAAATTTGGTATTTGAAGTTCGTAATGGATACTACGGCCTGTGACAGTAAACTGTCTGTGCAGATCCATGTCTTCGTATAGCCTCCATATAACGGCACCTCCCGATATTCGGTGTTTTGATAATTTTAGCCACATTATTCACCCGAATTTTTTCAAATTTGGTATTTGGAGTTCGTAATGGATATTACAGGCTATGACAGAAAGTTGTCTGTGTAGCTCCACGCCTTCGTATAGCCCCCATTTAACGGCACCTCCCAATATTCGGTATTTTGATGATTTTTGTGACAGTATTCACCGGAATGGTTTCAAATTTGGTATTGAAAGTTCGTAATGGATACTACAGAGTATGACAGAAAATTGTCTGTGAAGGTCCACGTGTTCGTATAGCCCCCCATATAACGGCACCTCCCGATATTTGGTATTTTGATGATTTTAGCGACATTATTCACCGGAATTGTTTCAAATTTCGTATTCGACGCTTGTATGGATATTACAACCTATGCCTAAGAATTTTGTATGCAGGTCAACGTCTTCCTATAGCCCCATATAACGGTATCTTTAGATATTCGGTATTTTGATGATTTTGGCGACATTATTCACCGGAATTGTTTCAAATTTCATATTCAACGCTTGTCATGGATATTACAACCTATGCCTAAGAATTTTGTATGTAGGTCAACGGTATCGGTACCTCCCGATATTTGGTATTTTGATCATTTTAGCGACATTATTAAACGGAATTGTTTCAAATTTTGTATTTGAAGTTTGTAATGGATACTACGACCAATGTCCAAAAATTTCGTCCATATCTTCGTATAGCCTCCGTATATAGCTATAACGCTAATTTTCGTAATTTTTTCCTTCCAAATGGTAGAGGGTACTCAAAAAAATTCGGCCCGGCCGATGTTTTTTTTGTTTACTTTTAAAATATTTTCAAAAAAATTGCGAAATTTACTTACAGATAATATTGGCCGGTTTATTATTACCCTGGAGTGGTTACGTGTTTGCCTGGATATTTGCGAAAACTTTAAAACAAAATCCTGCCGATGCTTTAACAATTGCCATTGAAACTGGCATACAAAATACCGGTATAGCCATATTCCTCTTACGTAGTCTGCCCCAACCGCAAGCTGATCTAACAACCGTTGTTCCCGTAGCTGTGGCAATAATGACACCATTTCCTTTGTTGGCACTGTATCTGTATAATAAATGTACTGGGTTCGATGTCAAAAACGGTACAATTCTAACTAATGAAATTCCAGAACATAGCAATGATCGAATCTCAGAAAGTAGTTGAGTACTTGTAGCACATAGTTTTGTGGTTTTACATATAAATTCATGAATATATTGTAATATATCTTCCATTGGGTTCTTCCAAAACAAAATTGTAAATTATATTTAAATTTATACATACCTTTTTAATTTGTTACTATTGTTTTGTTTTTTTTTTTTTTCTTTTAATAAATATTGTATTTATTTGTTTATTTCATTTGAGTTGAGTTCATGGATTTTTCTTTGCTTTCTTGCCTCTTGTTCTAGGCACTTGTTGCTTGTAAAATCTTCAATAGACATTGTGTGGTGCTACCCTCTAAATTAAGTTTTCTCAATTCTTTGATATAGCCCACATAATTTGTGGGTCTTTGTGCTAGACTATTTAAGAGATTTGGAGTTAGTGAATAGTAAATGACAACGGCTACCAATTTCGCCAAATCTTGTTGCGTCAGGTTGGCCACAATGTGAGATTCAAAATCTCTGGCTGTAATAAATTGCCTTAAAGGCGTTGATAACTTATGACGGCATGTTTCCATAAATGTTTGAAATTGCTCAAGAAATGATGATATAAGCTCCTTGGGAAATAATATATGAGGATGTGAATACTGTTCTAAATAGCAATTCAGCAATTTCAATTGCCAAATATCATAGAATGTGGGCTCCTTGGTGTTGAATTTCAGGACGTGCTGCAATAAACAAATAAATTTTAATTTTCTTTAAATCCGCACTAAAGTAAAACAAACTTACATTGTAGATTGCCAAATAAATGGGCAAAACATGCATTTTATCCTTTACGACGGCATTATAGAATAGCATGGTTAAATGTTGTTTCAATGCCAATTCATCATTTGTAGATTCCGGTTCATCCAGGTGCAAGAAACGATCTGTAAACCCAATAACATAGGGTTCATTGGAAAAACGTTCCAAAGTTTTTGGATCAATTTCCCAACAGATATATTGTTCTGTAGTTAATGTCTGGGAGAATAGACTTTTCAAACGATCGGGATCTTCCAGGTGGGACAGGCAACCGGAACGTTTTTTAATCTCAATACAGGCAGAATTTTCCAGGGCTTTCCTAAAAAAATATACAAAAAGGAATATGAAACTTATGCAATAATAAAAATTTAAATTATGACTTACACCAACTGATCCCAGTTACGATTCTTTTCAAACGAAACTGGCCAATAATTGGGATCATCCACAACGACTTTTTGCAATGAGCTTAACTCGGGCAACATACAAGGAGCCATGGGCAAGCGGCGCAATTCCTTGGCACCCACTTCCAAGACCGAAATATTACATAAACACAGCTTTTGGGTATCAATATCACGGGGTAAAAATAGACGTGGCTCCACGGCCAAAACATACAAATGACGGAAGGCCTGTAAATGGTATCTGAAATAAAAAATATAAAATAAATACTATCGCTATCAAATCTTTCAAAAACACTTACCTATTATCATTACTGTGCGTTGGAAACTTAGGAAACAGGGCACACACCAAAGCTGCCACCGCTTCGGGCGTTTTTGAAATGGTAAAGCGGCCAGCACCCAAAAACAGAAAGCCCAGTGACATATGTATGGCCATGTGTGAACCATAGGTGACATGTGGATGTGCCGAACCAATACGAGATCTCAAATAACGTATAATACGTAATATTTCCAAATCACCAGAACCGGAAAATACCAATGAAATGGCCAAGAGAATGACCATGAGACTATTCTCAATTGTGGTACGCCCGGCAAATTCGCCAACATATTTGCCCGGGAATCCTAAGAAAAGTTTAATGGCACGTCGTAAAGTTTTAAAGGCCACCGGATTCTCTGTGCCAGCATATTTTAAACCAATGCAAAAGGCAGCACCCGCAATGATGTTACAGTAGGCTTGGCTGAAAGGATATATCACTTAAGTTAAATATGTATTTTTAAATTTGAAATAAAGAATGAATAAATTGAGTTCAATTTAGAGTCATTTTAATCCAATTAAAAAGAAACTCTAGATTTTATTACATTAGCCTAAATGGTAATCTTCAAATAAAACAATTCGAAACGAATTTGGCAATTTTCAAATAAAATAAAATCCGTTAAATATTCTGTAAAAAACTTAAAAATGTCATTATATTAGGGTCTATAGTATTATGACGGACTACAAATACCAAATTTGAAACAAATCCGGTGAATAATGTCGCTAAAATCATCAAAATACAGAATAAAGGGAGGTACCGTTAAATGGGGGCTATACGAAGACGTGGACCTGCACAGACAATTTTCTGTCATTGGCTGTAGTATCCATTATGGACTTTAAATACCAAATTTGAAACAATTCCGATGAATAATGTCGCAAAATCAAGCACAGACAATTTTCTGCTTAAGGCTGTAGTATCCATTAGGAAATGCAAGTGCCAAATTTGAACCAATTCCCGTGGATAATGTCGCTAAAATTACCAAAATACCGAATATCGGGAGGTACCATAATATGGGGGCCATATGAAGACGTGGACCTGAATACAAAATTTTTAGGCATAGGTTGTAGTATCTATTATGAACTTCAAATACGAAATTTGAAATATTTCCGGTGAATAATGTCGCTAAAATCATCAAAATACCGAATATAGGGAGGTACCATTATAAGGGAGCTATACGAAGACGTGGACCTGCACAGACAATTTTCTGTCATAGGCTGAAGTATCCATTACGGACTTCAAATAAAAATAAAATGATGGTACAGACGATACTGTAGCACCGCAATGTTTTGTATGAATTGTGCATTTTGATGTTTTTGTACACAAAAATAATAAAATATGACAAAATGATGAAAAATAGATGGAGCGATTCAAATAGAGCTAAAGTTCGATCGGTACGAACTTTTATTGGCTCCACGATGGGGAAATGAAAACACCAGTTCTAAATTATTTTGCGATATTTTCATTTTTTGTTTGGTTTAAAACCCCCAGAAAGAAAAGATTGGAACATATGTTCGAATATATAAGTTCCGAATTTTTTTTATAAGATATTTTTTGGTTTTAACGGATTGGATCAAATTTTCGCACGGGTTCCGGGTTCGCACAGATCCATATACAGTTCCCTATGTCGGTGACTAATATTTCGAGGTATTCTCTAATTTTTGCCCCAATTATACTTATAATACCCCAACACATAGTGTTTTAGGGTATAATGAAACCATGAGACAACACACCTTTTGATGGAACCATTGATCATAGTTTCTTGAGTTTTCTGCTTGGTGTAGGTGAAATGAGCATTTATAAGTGCATTGTTTCTCACTTAGACAAATATTTTGTTTTGCTATTCAGGCGTGTAAAATGAACATGCACATGTTGTTACTAAATGTTTTTGTGCAATACATTATTCAATAATAATATAGAGTAAATATATGGCCGAAAGCTTAGCTCTCGGAAGTTGTATGTAACATTAATTTTATTAAATAAAACTGAAAAACTACAAAAAATATTTTAACTACAAAAAAGTAAAAAAGCAGCTAAGTTCCAACTTTTAATAACCTCCACCACTTGGAAGGAATTTTAAAAAGTTAAAAATAATATACAAATACGAAAACATAGACCTCTACATTCACTTATATACCAGAGAAGGCTGTTGCCTATTACGAAATCAAATCACCAAGATAATTCGGTTGAAAAAAACCTAGCTAATGGTAAAAAAATTCCGAATATAGAGAGGTACAGTTATATGGGATCTATACGAAGGTGTGAACCTGTATAGACAATTTTCTCTTATAGGATGTAATTCCCATAACAAACTCCAAATACCAAATTTGAAATAATTCCGATGAAAATGTGTCACAAATCATCGAAATAGTGAATATCTAGAGGCACAGTATAATATAATAATACCAAATAATACCAAAACATGGATCTATTTAGACAAGGATGTTTCCTACATATTGGGAACAAAAACCGCCAATTTACAGCAATTTAAATAAAACTATTTAAAACAAGTAAAAAAGCTGTAAGTTCGGCCGGGCCGATCTTTGAATACCCTCCACCATTCGGAACGAATTTGGCAATTTTCAAAAAAAATAAAATCCGTTAAAAATTCTGTAAAAAACTTAAAAATACCGTATATAGCCGTTATATTAGGGTCTGTAGTATTATGACGGACTTCAAATACTAAATTTGAAACAAATCCGGTGAATAATGTCGCTAGAATCATCAAAATACCGAATAAAGGCATGTACCGTTAAATGAGGCTATACGAAGACGTGGACCTGCACGGACAATCTTCTGTCTTAGGCTGTAGTATCCATTACGAACTTCAAATACCAAATTTGAAACAAGCACAGACAATTTTCTTGTTTAGTATCCATTATGAAATGCAAGTGCCAAATTTGAAGCAATTCCGGTGGATAATGTCGCTAAAATTACCAAAATACCAAATATCGGGAGGTACCATAATTTGGGGTCTTTACTAAAACGGGGACCTGCACATTTTTAGGCATACGTTATAGTATCCATTACGAATTTCGAATACGAAATTTGAAATATTTCCGTTGAATTATGTCGCTAAAATCATCAAAATACCGAATGTAGGGAGGTACCATTATAAGGGAGCTATACGAAGACGTGGACCTGCACAATTTTTAGTCATAGGCTGTAGTATCCATTACGAACTTCAAATACCAAATTTGAAACAAATCCGTTGAATTGTGTCACTAAAATCATCAAAATACCGAATATCGGGAGGTACCATTATATGGCTGCTTTACCATGGCATATTTTCAATACCAAAGGTCCTGCAGACATAATATACATTTGAACAAAATTTTGTCAACCTACTTCATTTCGATCGGAAGCTAGAGTGATTTCCACAGACAGATAGCCAAACAGACGGACGGACATCGCTAAATCGACATAGAATTTTATGCTGATGAAGGACATATATACTTTGTGGGGTCTAAAATGTATATTTCGAGGTATTGCAAACGGAATGACAAACTTAATGCACCCTCCATACTATGGTTGATGGTATAAAAAATCCTTAGGCCAAAAATCCTTAGTTCAATTCATTTTGAATGTAGTTCAAAATGTTTAACATTTCTAAACTAAAAACCCAACTTACGTTATAGCTTCATGATCAATATCCTCATTATCGTTGACTTGGGCACCCTTTTCAACATCGAACCGTAAATTGACCGGGAATTGATTGTGTAGCCACTCCTCATCTGGTTGTATTTCAGACCACATTATCAAACCATGAGCAATGGTGCGCAATAGCAACAAATCCGGCCTTACTAAATCCAAAAGATAACGGGTATTTGGTGGATTCATCCATTCGGCAACGGCTTTATTATCGGTATTATAGAACATTAAACCTAATGCCAGCGTAGCTCCAGGTGCTGTTACATCAATATTTACTTGATCCCCTTCTCTTACTTGAAACGAGGGCAGTTTATATTTTTCCTTTTGTGAACCGGTAAGATTTCTTTTATTACCACCCACCATGTAATAATGTAAAGTATCCGGTAATTGAAGATCTCGTAGGCCTGCCGGAGATTCTCCTTGTCCCAGGGTAACTAAACCTAATGCCAGACCAGCTGTTAAGGCATATGATTCTCTTTCCACGCTATTTTCCATTTCGGGGCCTGGAGGGCGTCCAACTTCTTGCAGCAGCACCTCAGCTATATGGCGTTTGGCAGTGCCCTGATACAACAAACCAATACCCATCAAAGATGCCACTTGTATATTTTGTGGTATATCCAATTCTAAGGCGGTGGCTGGCAGTAAAGCCTCTATGTGTACACTAAGTAATTTTGTGGTGGTATTATTCATGGTACCACGATGTGTGGCCGATATACCCAGAAGTAAGCCAACACTGGTCATTTCATCACACTTCACCAAATACTCATAGATACTCATAAACGACAAGGTTTTTAGGTGACCATTTAATCCCAACGCCATAAGAAATCCTGCATGTTCTGTTGAAATATCCGCCTGACCTTTGGGTTTATTATATACAATCCATGTTGAGTCTACATCTCGGGCATTGGGTGATATTTTTAGGCCAGCTGCAACACCATTATGAAATGTGGGCCACAAACTCATATTGGCGGGGAATTCAATTTGTTGCATTTCCACAGTGGCTCCTTTGATGGGTTCTTTGCCCGTCAGGCACAACTTGGGAATGGGCATTGATTCTGTTGGTGTGGGTATAGAAGTCCTCAGAGTAAACATTCCACGACCCATGGGCAATGTCATTGTCCTTGTACACAAAGAAAACAGCTGTTTTTCCTGCTCTTCAATAAATTCATGATCTGAGGTGCCAGGAGATTGTGTTATATCAATTATAACTGGCTCCGAAGACGATAATAGTCGACGCACCTCAGCCACACGCATATCATCGGGAAAACGTAGACTCAACAGTTTTGTATCAATATTATCCATACCATCATCCAAAGCAGCATCCATTTGAGATATCCCATTCTTAGATGGTGGACAGCGAGCTGAGAGAGAATCTTCCGTATCGATATTGACTTTTTGCAAATAACCTGAATTGGGTGTTTGGAAATTTTGATTCTGTAATTTAGCATGTGCGACTAAGTCGGAACGTAAAATCAGCTCATATGTTGTAGGCGAACAGCCAATGGGGGGTTCCAGCCGTGAATATTCCAGGCATTCGGCAATGCACAGATGAATGGCCACTGGCAAACGTTCAATATCTTTGCGGGTTATTTCTAAAAATTGTTTTAAAATTTTATATTCAACTTCAAACCGTATTCAACTAATTCTGCCTAAACATACCCATATTGATTAGCATTTGTATAACCTGCTCCGAACGTGAAACATTAACCGATATAAATCGTTTTGGTTTTTTGGGGAAATATGATTGTACCGATTCGGCAAAATCCAATGGTTTTATCCACTTCTTGATTTTGCCATGACCATGCATGATTAATGAAATAACCTGGGAAAAATTACCAAATTAAAAACTATCATTTCTTTAAATAGAAGTTTAAGTACCTGCAACACATTACGGCTCAAGTCATTGATACCATCTACATAATTGAAAGGCATATTATCCTTGTCTTTTAATATAAATTCAATTTGTTGGAATACATTTGGAGCTGGGACGGTTAACAGTTCCTTGTGTAACATTTGAGATCCATGCTGTTCAGTTAAGATACAAGCCTTGGCCGCATTGCGAACTAAACACGGGAAATCGAGGGAGTAGTGGAAAGTATAGGATTGCAATTGCATATCAAAAGCTAATTGATGTAGAAACTACAAAGAAAAACATAATACATGAAAGTTCTCATTGCGAATTGCTATTTTTTTTTAATTTACCTTTGCCAATGGTTTCAAATGCTGATGCATGGAATCATCCAATTTAAAATCTTCATAGAGCAAATGAAAACTATAGAAAATAGCTGGTATGGTATTGAACAAAATTGCAGTTGTATCTATATTATTGCAGGTTTGCTGTTGACGTTCTCCACTGCAATTTAGGCCAGTCTCTACGCCATCTAATATGTTCAACATGAATTGCCAATCTTCATCGGTACCCGAATGTATTTCATCATTTTTCTTGCGTTTCTTTGGCTCTTCGGCATTAAACGATGTGGCAGTACCACTGCTAACATCATGCATTGTTGCCGAATAACCCATTAAATCCCACAGAACATTACGAAATATGTCCCATTCCTGTTCAATACAATAATCTCGTGAACCTGGTGGATTACGTGAACCATACCATTTGGTAATCATTTGTATAAATTGGTCACGTTTCAGAACTTGTCGCAGGGCTGCAATACAACGGCTTACAAGTTTAGTTTCATTTATGAGAGGCAATGTTATGCGCAACATTTTTCCCGAGAGATAGGTGAGGGTTAGACGATTACCGGCCGGATCTCTCAGGCCTAAACATATATTATTGGACCTATAAAAAAAAAAAAAAAAAAAAAAAAAAAACAGAAAATAAAAAGCTCATTTTTTTAAAGCAAACAAAACGCCTACCTGCTTAAAAATTGAGGTTGCAAAGGATGTACTGGTGACAGCAAATGCAGCTCCTCCTCAAATGTAGAATCACTTGGTTTTTGTGCAGAAGGAAGCAAACTGCTACGTCTTGGAAATGAGGTATTGGGTGATTTATTTTGCATCGATGGTGTTATATTTTGTACACTTGTGGGCATTTTTGAGGATGGTGTATTACCGGATAGTGTATTGGGTATGTGAACTTTGGACACCAACACAGTACCCGTATAAAGTATTAACGTGCCCGAAGGATCCAAAACAGCAAGCATATTCATGCGCTAAATTAAAAAAATATAGATTTAAATATTAAAAAATGTAGAAATTTTGTTAAAAATTTTAAATTACATACCTCCAAAGCCACAGCATCCTTGGCCACAATCGAGGTACACATGGTGGCTATATTTAAGTTTTTGCTATCATAATTATTCAGTCTGACCATCTGTAGTTTACATGAGCGTGGTAGTAGATAACAGAGATACGTTTGGCCAACCAAATCGGTGTGGATGAAGGCTTTCGATGATATTTCACAGAAATCACGAGAGCTTAAACATAAAAATATTAAAATGTTAATAAAAAATGTATTTTGTTTTATATCATTTTATTACTAACTTCCCATAGGTATTTTCAGTCCAAATATGCTCCAAACACAATTCAGGAACAATGGGTTTAGATGGCTGACTTTGGCCACATTTTCGTATATCTTGCACGGATATAGAATGTTGGCCAATGGTTGATTGTAAATTACTTAAAGGTGATGCTGTATTGGAACGACTTGAAAAAGAAAAGTAGAAGTAAGGTAGGTATACATCCGTGAAAAGATTTCAATTGTGACTTACTTTAAATTACCAAAAGCTCCGCTAATGGAATGGGCACTATTCAAGAACTTACTTATATGTGTTGTGTAATTGGACGTACCTAAACTTGTGCGACCCAAATGGGCTGTGCTGTTCTTAGGTGTGACTAAAATAAAATTTGAAAACATTTACGTTTTTCTATAAAATCACATCATCACTTACCTCCACTGAACTTCATGCTACTCTGCGAGAAACTACACTGATTAACTGTTCCACCTAGATTTGGCTTATGAACACTAAACTGATTAACACTACTGCCTAAGACAGTCTCATTTTGTGCTCCGATGTATTGTACCTCTTCGGCACTTGCCTTTCGCAGACGTGATATAAAATGTTTACCCAGTTTAGTATCACACAGCAGTAATAAATCGGATTTTTCATCGGAAAATATTATTTTATAATCCGATTCGATGAGATATGAAATTACATTGGTAGAGGATTTATTGAGCACTGGACAAATTTCATCCAAAGGATGACTCAAAGAAAACAGACGAGGCATAGAAATTGAGTGATTTTGTATAATCGTATTCGATGCCACTTTTTCCAAAAGGATACCGAAACGTGTGGGCCAGACATGAGAGACAGGAAATTCAAGATTTGAAAGGAAATCTTCACCGTTACTGCAATAAACACGCAAGGAATTTTGATCTAAGGGTAAGGATAAGTTGGTTATTCATTTTTTAAAATATTGGAGTGCAAAATATTACCAATCAGGCATATAGATGTGACTTTTTGTCCCGTTTCTTCTTCAGCCAATTGCTCTTTGGGGGAACTTATGAAAGACTTGTTGCAAAAGAATGCAAATTTAATGGGAGTTTCACAAGTGAAGCACAAGCGAGGCAAAGTGCATCTTTCATCGGAAATACCTAGGGATGAATATAAATCAATATTAAAGTTTGTACTTCTTTGCCCTCGAAATATTTCCTTACCTCTGGTCCATACAGCCGTATGTTTCTTTACATACAATTCCTCTTCGGAGTTCACCAAATACTCGCACATGTACTCCGATGGACCAGTAGATGTGGGGTTATTTTCTCCATTAGATTTTGTATCATTATTCCTGTTCAAATTGTTGCCAAAACCTTGTCCCTTATTACCTCCACCCTGTGATTTCTTGTTGCCATTTCGTTTGTTTTGGGAAAAGTCTTCATAGATTTCACGTACACACCAAAACTCATTGTGTTCTTCCTTCGCTGATATATTTACATTTTGCAAACGCAACAATAATAGATTCTCGGATGGCAACTGGGGATGTTGTTTGATCTCTGTTGGCCCAGGATGTTCATCGACCGCCTGCCGACCTCGTGGAATATATTCCAGAGATTCTGATACGGCGATCATCACTTCACCAGTTTCATCCAGATTTGCAGGAATTTTTCAAATTTTCAATTGAACATTCAATTTCTAATGGGAAAATATATTACTCTTCAACTTCCAGCCCTGAACTCCTTGAAGGATCAGATATCAGAGGAATAAAGATGGAACGAATTTTTCGGCGGCAGCGGCTTTTTACAAACACATTAACAACTATTCTACAAGTATAAACCAACACACACAAATAGCAGAAAATTGCACAAAGACAAAACGCCGGATTTGTAGAATGTATAGAAAATGGAAGAGGCAACACACCGAATGCGGCGAATGTATAGAAAGTGGAAGAGACAATATGCCACAACAGCTGTTTGTTCACGTGAGGAAAAAAGGAACGAGTGTCATATATCGTTCTATATCTGTGTGCAAAATACAGGTGTTCACTGAATGAACGAAGGGACAAGTGTCAAAAGAGAAGCCATGCATTTTTCCCGCGGTTAACTGACTGAAAAATATTGAATATATGAAATCAACTTGTTTGCATGCAAATTTGACAGGAAGCGGGCATAGCCTCAGGGCAGTATTTCTTTAGTTTTTCAAAGCTGTTCTACCCCTTATTGTACCATGATCCTACCTTTTTATGATAGCCTGGACTTATATAAACATATGTTCTGTTCTAGAATTGCAAGAATATGAACAAGGTAGATGTACTAGGTAATCGCATCAGCCCAGCTGACGGCACCATTAAATGTCAAAACAAATTGTTGTAATGATGAATTCGCCCTAAATGAATGCAACAACAAATTTGTTTATGTTTTCTTCCCTAAATAATTTAATAATTAATTAAAGAGCAAGTTTAGAGTGAAACCAGTAAAAAAAAATTAAAAGAAAATGAAAAAGTGCTCGATTTGCAATAAGAAATATTGTGATGGAAATTTAACACTATTTAGTGTTCCTAAAGACGAAGGAAGGAGGTTCGAATGGAGTGCAGCTTGAGGTATTAAGTTAGCCCCAACATCTAAGATTTGTATGGACCATTTTAATCCAAAGCACATCACGGGAAGTAGTGCAAGAATTCGACTCCAATGAATTCTATCCAATTTTTTGCGATTCTGTTCCTGGATACTATGTTGTTGGCTATTGGCCAAGTTATTGAGATTTTGATATTCATATCCTGCTCTTGCTGCTATTGAATATGTGGTGAATGTATGGCCATATTTGGTACCCCGATTTTGCATAGAACGATATTGGTGCTAGGTTTTTTTTTGTCTTTAAAACCATTTTTTCTATATTTTTTATTGAATATAAATTGCGACGTTCGTTTACGACGAGAGGCACACAAAATAAAATGTAAACAAACACTTGTTTCTGATTGGTTGAAACAAATTTGCCGCAACCTTTAAATGTCATGGCGAATCTATGTTTTTCGCCTTAGATGCCAATTTTGACATTTGAGGGGACCACAAAAGTTACTTTGTTGTAGCAATTCGCCGATGCGGTTACCTGTTAGATCTACCTTGAATATGAAGATATTTACTACCATTGCACGATTAGAACAAAGCTACCTCCCATGGTAGAAGAATACAGGTAGATGCATCAACGCTTGGGAACATTGATATTTCAAACATTTTAAAAAGTTTTTTTCAAATACAAGTAAATTTTTATATGTTATCTTATACGACGTCAATCGGAGGTATGCACAATTTGTAAATATGTGTGTATTGTTTTGAATTATTAAAAAAATAATTTCAAATTTAGAATTTGATACAACAAAAATGCATGTTTACCACATTGTCGGGCAACAAAATGTATTATTTTGGGATGAAAGAACATTGTCCCCCTATTTTGGATTCAATTTTGTGGAGAATACCCAATATTTAATTCATATTTTGCGGGTTTTCCTCAAAATAGTAATTTTTTTAAAAAACCGTTATGATGTAGATTAGGTAAATGAGGTAAATTAGTAGTAGGCCGGGCCGAACTTTGAATACCCCGAATTCTGTTGAAATTATAAGCCATAATCCTCAAAATACCAAATATACGGATACCGTTTTGTGGGGGTTATACGAAGAATTGTACCTGCAAAGACAATTTAATTTTCTGTCACAGGCTGTAGTACCCATTAGGAAATTTACGAGATTTGAAACAATTCCGGTCGTTAAAATCACCAAAATACGGAATATAAGAAGGTACTGCTATATGGGTCTGTAGTAACATTAGGAACTTCAAGTACGAAATTTGAAACAATTCCGATAAATATTGTACCTAAAATCGCCAAAATGCCGATTATAGATATTTCTCTTCCAGGGAGTAAAGTGCTAAAATCATGAAAATACCGAATATCGGGGTTACCGTTATATGGGGCCAATATGATATCGTCAACCAATACAGCCCATCTTCGAACTTGATCTGCCTGCAGACAAAAGACTGATCTGTGCAAAATTTTAGCCTTCAACTCAGTTCGTTTTGACTCTAGCGTGATTCCAACAGACGGACGGTCAGGGCTAAATCGACTTAGAATTTTAAGCTGATCAAGAATATATAAACTTTTTTATGTCAAAAATTATTATTTTTATGAGTTACAAACAGATGACGAACTTAATATACTCTCCATACCATGTATGGTGGAGGGCATAAAAAATGTCATATGTAGCTGCGAAAGCAGCATTTGGACTACCTTTGTTATTATGCCGTTAACTAGCATTTCGTGCGAAATATCGATAAAATATCGATATTGACCATTGGAATGTGGTGTCGATATTGCCATCGATTGTTTGCCAGCACTACGCCACCTCAAATCAGAAGTCAATTGGAATTCAACCGGTGTTTTAGCAGCTGTTCGGAAGCTTAACAAGTTCATAATAATTTCTAATTTAGCAACTAAAAATCAATAAACATGATTAAGGTAAGTTTTTAACTCAATTTGTTTGATAACAATAATGCAGCATAGAAAATAGAAAACAAATCTTATCATAAATGAAGTTCACCAAGAATCAAAACGGTTCATGTTGCAAATAAGAGTGAAAGTACAAAGTCCATTTTGCTGGGGGGTGAGCAAAATAAATCAAGCACCACTGAACATCTTTAATATGTTAACGTCAGTGTCTTATGATAAGCATTATACAATCACTCCAGAATATGAATACAACAACAATTTTCAATTATTTGTTTTTGTTTCTACTTTGTTCTAGAACGCTGTTGCTGTAGTTACTGGTGGTGCCTCCGGCTTGGGCCGTGCCACCGTTGAACGTTTGGCCAAACAAGGTGCCCGCGTCGTTATGGCCGATTTGGGTTCCTCCAAGGGTAATGAAGTTGCCAAGGAATTGGGTGACAATGTCGTCTTTGTGCCCGTCGATGTCACCTCCGAGAAGGATGTAACCACCGCCCTTGAAACTGCCAAGGATAAATTTGGCCGTTTGGATTTGGCTGTCAACTGTGCTGGTACTGCCACCGCTGTACGTACTTACAACTTCAATAAGAATGCTGCCCACCGTTTGGATGACTTCACCCGTGTCTTGATGGTCAACACCGTTGGTACATTCAACGTCATCCGTTTGTCTGCCGGTCTTATGGGTACCAATGAACCCAATCAAGATGGCCAACGTGGTGTTATTGTCAACACTGCTTCCGTGGCTGCTTATGATGGTCAAATTGGCCAAGCCGCCTACTCTGCTTCCAAGGCCGCCGTTGTTGGCATGACTTTGCCAATTGCCCGTGACTTGAGCACTCAAGGTATTCGTATTTGCACCATTGCTCCTGGTCTCTTCAACACACCCATGTTGGCTGCTTTGCCCGAAAAGGTGCGCACCTTCTTGGCCAAATCCATTCCATTCCCTCAACGTTTGGGTGAACCATCGGAATATGCTCATTTGGTGCAGGCCATCTATGAGAACCCCTTGATGAACGGTGAAACTATCCGTATTGATGGTGCCCTCCGCATGCAACCTTAAATGTTGTAAATAGAAACAAAATTGCCGAACGTCGTGATGAGTTTAAGGAGATTTGCATTTACATTTTTATGCGTTTTTTAGAATTAAGTGGAAAAGTTATACAATTCAAAGTCTACCGAAATATTTGCCAAGCAAATCGTCATAGAATAATAACTCAATAAAATTTAAAATATTTTTGTAAAACACAAGAAAACAAAAGTTCTAGAAGACATCAATCAACTCTCAAATGCCTTTCTTATCAACATCCATATTTAAATACCATGAATTTAAAAGGGTGAGTATATTTTTGTTGCAAATGTTAATGAATTGACAATATTTTTTTTTTAAATTTTATTATTCTTTTATATATTACTTATTTTTTTTAGCTTAGAATAATTAATGATAAGCAAAATTATATCAAGAAAAGCAAGATTCAAGAATTTGGTTAAATGCAAGATATCAAGATAACATATAATAAAAAGCAATAATCACGTTATAATAATTGTGGATAAGGTAAGAAATTTATAATTCAATTTTATTTTCCACAAATTGACAGTATGCAACGATGTTGTAGTGTAGAACTTTTTTTGAAGTCAAATGGTAAATTACGATTAGCCATAAACTATGATTGTGTTTATGGCTAATCGTAATTTACCGATTTTTACACACCGATTTTTTACATTTTATATGGACATAAATTTGGTCCACTTGGTGACGTCAATATTAGCGTTTTTAAAAATGGACCCCTGCCTTCTGTTTACAGCTAACAGTAAAAAGTTTGGATTTTGTTGCAGTCGTTTGAATTTAAAGCGGCAGTCCGTTATTGATTACTTTTTGAGTATTCAATATTCAGTAGATAAACACACATATTTATCTGTTATAGATAACCACATTTGTTTAGCAATGTCTTAAATATGAAGTATAGATGGCGTCCGTTATAACATGTACTGAACAATTCTGGTAATTCAATTCAAATAGGGCACTTCAAACAATTTAACCAAAATCAATGTTGTCACGAACGTCTAATGCAGGTATGGAAATCAATAATCCTATTTAAACATTATATTCCAACTATCAGATGGAGTGAGATGAAAAGGATTATATATATATATATATATATATATATATATATATATATATATATATATATATATATATATATATATATATATATATATATATATATATATATATATATATATATAACATTAAGATGTCAGATATCTGATATTGCAGTGGTCAGTCAATATGCCCACCTCGATTCTTACATTCGACCTATTAGTTGAAAGCGAGTTATTTTTCTCAAAATTGCGATCAGATGGCCCTAGATAGCTTGCAACGAGTATCCAGGTACCATCTTGTCATCTATCAGCTGACATAATAGCTCACATATGGTTTGACAGTATCTTAGTATCTTCAATCGGTATGTCAATCAACTAGGAAGGGCGCTTGACTTGATGGCTTTTTGAGGGCCAACAGACTCGACATATATAGGGCGCATGTAACTGTACCGGCAGATTTAATGCGTTTTGGGTAACCCAGTGACAATTTCAAACTGGATTTGCTGTAAATTCTCAGTCTGTGTTCCCAGCATGTGTATCACATCTGTGCAGAGAACTGTCCATAGGTCATATAGGAAAAAATTTTGGTATTTTATTGATTGATTGATTGATATTGATTTAACTGTGCCCCTAGACTATCGGTATTTTCATGATTTGTTTTACACTTTTCACCGAAATTCTTTCAAAGTAGGTGTTTGTAGTTCGTAATGGATATTAGTTCAACTGACTGATAATTAGCTAAAGGTCCGCGTCATAGTATGGCCCCATAAAACTATATCTCCTATAACTTGATGATTTTAGCGACATTGTTCAACGGATTAATTTAAAGTTATTATTTGTTATTGGCAATGGGTTCTCTCTTCTCTTATAGAAAATTGTCTACATAACTACACATTTTCGTATAGCCCTCCTTATAACTATTTGATAATTTATGTCACATTTTTGGAGGCAATTGTTTTAAATTTGGTATATAGAGTTCGTAATGAATACTACTTCCCACAACAGAAAATTATATTTACTTATCCAAATCTTCGTATTCCCCTTACAAATATAGGAATATTACAATGTAAAATTAGACGATCAATACTTCGCCTGAATTGTTAATTTTTTACGATCATTGGTGGAAAGTTTGGACTAAAATACGGATAACTTTCACCCTATCTAAGAAAGAGCGGACCATTAGGTCCATAAACTTAGCAACGTGATACCGAGACGTTTCGGTATGTAATATTACCATGCCCGAAGTTTTAGTTTAATTTACTTTATAATTGGCACAATTGCAAGATACTTCGTTTTCGTTGGGCTTTATTGATTTCATCATTGCAGTTACTAATGCCTGTCATCACAGGCCTTATATCTTTCATATCACATCACTCCCAAACCCAAAATGAGGGACGTATTCCTGTTCATTAGGCTAAGACCAATATCCTTGCTATTAGCAATTTTCCCACATCTTGTACGAGATGCATAACTCGTACTGAGTGCAGCTTAAATCCAAAGTTATCAGAACAATGGAGTATTGAACTAGTAAACGACCATTGCTTTGTTCTTGAACCAAGTTTTTTGACCCATAACGCTGATAACGCAGCACAAAAGCGAAACAAACATCGGTTTGTAAACCAATTCCTTTGCATGCCTGAAATCTTCATAACAAACACTCAGTTATCTCTCCACACTATATGATCCATTTGTACAAGTTATTTCAACCCAGTTAGCTTACTTATATATGTTGATTTTCAACATTTAAATGACCATTTTCAGACATTAAACACTTGCACCATTTTACCAAAAAAAAAAAAAACCTTGACCTATTGCTCCTCTTCGATTGCTCCATGCGAAAGGCAATTTTCTAATACAAATGGTTTTCTGCCTTTATTTCGAGCTAGGCAGCCAGTAAAATACACATGCTTCGTAAGCATTTAAAGGATTTTATTTGCCCATTTTTGTTGCGACACAAGTTATTTATGTTGCAGCAGAGCATTAACATTTCGTTTTCGGTACAAGTTGGTCGTTTGTTTTCCTTTTTTTTTGTTTGATAAGGACAAAGAAAATTCCCTTTTATGCCATATGGTATTTACTGTGAATGGAAGGAATTTCCAAAACAAAAGGTAAGCCCCTGCGGCATCAATTTGTTATTTAATGTTAAAGGAAATGGTTTTTAAATCAAGGACGTTATTTGTAAATAAGGAAGTGTACATTGGTTAACCTTAACAAATAAAGTCATTGGTTGCTTGCTCAATTATTAAAGGCTGTACCTGAAGTTTGTTGTTCCATTTGAAGCCCATTGAATTAATGATTGTATTCATGGATGAGAAATATTTTGAAGTTTTTTTTGGTAACATTAATGCAAATATTTTATTGAAATATATCGGAGGTAGATATTTCTTTTCTTAGAATACAAATAGTGAAATTTGATTAAGAATTATTTTGCCTTTGACGTTATCATGTTAAAATGATGCATTATAGGAGTATTTGGATAAACTCACATAACCCTAAAATGTTTTTATACCGTACAACACTGTGTTGGGGGTATTATACGTTTGATTGGGCCAAAAATTATGTAACACCTCGAAATATTGGTTTCTATAAACCGCGAATATTTTTAATCCTGGCGAAATCCCAAATAGACGAAAAGGTCAATTCTGACCATTACGTAGATGTCGATAGTAACTATATCGCATATATTTAGCAAAATATATAGAATGTGTATATATAAAGGAAAGGGATGTTACCTAGAATGCTTATATCTCAAGAATGGCTGGACCGATTTTGACAATTTTTGCCAATTCAGAGTGCTTCAAATTTCGTACTTAAAGATCGTAGTAGGTACCACAGCTTATGACAAAAAATCGCGTATGCAGGTTTATGTCTTCGTATATCCCCCATATAACGGTACATCCATATATTCGGTATTTTGATGATTTTAGCTAAATTTTTCAATGGAATTTTCTTAAAATCCATACTAGAAGTTCTTTCTAAGCACTTTACCACCTGGAAGAGAAATGCCTATATATGTAGGTCCACGATATCGTAAAGCCCAAATACAACGGTACCCCCCGATATTTGATATTTTGACGATTTTAGGGACATTATTCACTGGAGTGGTTTCAAATTTCGTATTTAGAATTCGTAACGGGTACATCAGCCTATGACAAAAAATTGCGTATCCTGGTCCACGTTTTTGTATGCCTCCCATATAACAGCACCTCCCTTTATTCGGTATTTTGATGATTTTTAGCGACATATTAACACGAATTTTTTTCAAATTTCGTATTTAAAGTTCGTAATGGGTACTACAGCCCATGACAAAAAATCGAGTACACAGGTCCACGTCTTTGTATAACCCCCATATGACTATACATCCCGATATTCGGTATTTTAATGATTTTAGAGGCATTATAGACCGGAATTGTTATAAATTTTGTATTTGATGTTCAAAATGGATACCTCAATCTCTAACATAAAATTGTCTATTCAGGTCCACGACTTCGTATACTCCACCTACGGTCAGTATATCGTATCAACTCCTTCTGGTACTTCCCCCACAAAAGGTCAACATTTTGAATTTCCATGAAGCGCATAAAACCCGAAATTAACATCCGATTCTATCCAGACCCAATATTTCCGTCAACATAAGATCTGTTATAAATATGGTAGAGATCGGACCATTCCTTCTGCTACCTCCCCAATAAAGGGTCAAAGTTTTGAGTAACCAAAACTATCTTAAAATCCGAAATAGACATACGGTTCTCTTCATATTTCACACATCCCATAATTTCTACTAATACAAAACATGCTGGAAGATGGAATATGCAAATTTTGGTGCCTCCCCCACAAAGGGTCAAAATTTTGAATATCCGTGAAGCTCATAAAACATGAAATCAACATCCGATTTTACGTCGCATTATATAAATAATATTTATTTAGGTCCAATACGAAATGGACAATATTGTCCCATTCCTTTGAAACCCACTCCATAGAGGATCAACAATTTGAATAATCATAGCAGAAGTCAAATGATATTTACATAATCGAATATTGGCTGAGAGTCGGCAAAACCGACTAATACATTTTAACTTGTTGGCTCTAGTTTTATAATCTGCTGGATTGTTCCCGTAATTATTTTTTCTTTGCACAGTGTTTTTCCTTGGTCAATAGGTTGCTGGCGAAAATTTTGAG